TAAGCTATGGTTCGGATACGACCAGAGCCCACATGTAGTCATAATTGTGGCATTGCGTCGATCAAGAGGTGTAGCTATGCTTCGAATACAACCAAGCCCCCAAGTAATTTCCCTAGTGCCCTTATGCCTATCAAGAGGTGTAACTATGGTTCGAACCCATAGCCTCCAAGTGATTTCCCTGGTGGCCTTATGTCTATCAAGAGGTGTAGTATGGTTCGGATACGACCAAGCCCCCAAGTGATTTCCCTGGTGCCCTTATGCTGATCAAGAGGGTATAAGCTATGGTTCGGATACGACCAAGCCCCCAAGTGATTTCCCTGGTGGCTTTAAGCCTATCAAGAGGTGTGACTATGGTTCAAACATAGCCCCCAAGTGATATTGTGAGTTGTGCTCAAGGGATACCCATGTTTGAGTTGTGCTGTGCAGCAGACTCTCTTTGGCCCCTTATGATAATATAGGCTTGATAGCCAGATTACCGAAGTAACCAGAGCTGTGCTCTGATGATAATATTGGCTTGATAGCCGGATCAAGAGGTGTAGCTATGGTTCGAATATGACCAAGCCCCCAAGTGATATTGTGAGCTGTGCTCAAGGGGCACTTATGTTTGAGCTGTGCTTTTGCAACAGACTCTCTTTGGTCCCTTTAATTTTTTCTAAGAGCTCGAGCTTTGCGAGAGATAATACTCTTCTTGAACCGGAAATTCTTAGACCGGATATTGAGAGCTTCAAAGCTTTATGGGAGAGAGATGACTCTTCAACCGGATTTTGAACCGGAATCCTTCTTTTTAAACCGGTCGCGGCAATGTAAACCCGCATGGACGGGTAAATTATTCTCCTTGTTGCAAGCCGGTGCAGACACATGAGCCGGTGACCCGTTCATCGGGTAATGTGACACGGAGGAAAACGCCGTTGTAGAACGTTGCCAGTGCGTGCCCTATCCCCGCAGTAGAATAATAATTTCACCTGTATATAAAAACGGCAATAGGGTAGTGTAATGGTGCTCAGAGGAATGTACTTATAAAATATATAGGAGGGATAACACCGGATTTTGTTTTTGTCGGATGAACGCAGATGATGGTGCCATGTAATACTGAATAATATATGCACATTGAGCTCTGCTGATGTGATGTAGTATAACATCCACGTGACCCTCCCCTTTTTTTTAAACGAACAGTTGGTCTTTCTGATATAGTATTGCTCTGTATAGCTTTAGTATTTGTAGCACCAGTCCTCCACGTATCCTTCCCTCCTTTGTCTTTTTCTTGTCTCACATGAGGTTTGTACATGGATCACTTTGATTGAAAATACCATGCAAGGTCACTCGTGAGCCGTGATACTCCCATGTTGTGACTGCCAAGTACGTGGAGGGGTAACTTGATCAATGTGACGCAGCACCTTTAAACCGGAAAAAAATAACAGAATGTCATTTGCCTCCCTCTGCTGATACATGTCATCTAGACTCCATGCACTTACTTTCGCTCTCTCCACCTGATTTAGTATAGATGTGTTGAACCCTGGCCGGTTTAGTGTAGCAGAGAGGCACCCACAGTAGCGCCAAGCTGGCCACAACGGAAGGTGAACTGCGTCCGTGGCGGGCCAAAGTAGCTCGCGATCTCGAGGCTAATCTGGAGCGGTTTATAGGAAGGCCACAGCAGCGGGCGAAATGGCAACTCAGAGAAGAGTTGACCCGGCGGGGGAGCTTCAGAGGTGGCTCAGGAAATGGCGTTTTATCTGTAGTGGGCTGCGGCGCTTTCAGCGGAGCAGGGGGCGGCGACTCGGACAAGAGGCGCAGACGCATAGGTACGTGGCAGCGGGTCTGGCTTGAAGCCTCGACGGAGACGGCCACGAGGCCGGACGGTTTGAGGTGCTGCGGTGTGAGTCAAGGCGGAGGTTCGGCGCCGGAAACGGGGAACGGTGGGCCGTCCCTCGATCCGGATTCATCGACCCGGAATCAGATTCGGGAACGAGGGTCGATTCGGTAAGATTCGATGCGGATTCGACGTTTCCGCAGTCGGATCGTCGATGTAGGTTCGGCGACTCGACAGTCTTGGTTCTTGAATCGATCGAGTAAGCAAAAGGTTAGCCATATCAATCACGAACTCCTCGTTTTACTCTCTGCCCCGTTCTTTTCCACTCCCCTAAATAACTTCTCGTTCTGCTCTCCAATTACTCCAAGGCTGCTAATAAATTTTCCATTGGGAAGGAGATGATGTATTTTAGTCTTCATGAATCGACGATGCAGCCAGTTGCTCCCAGCCCAGCCAGTTCCATTTATAAGTACTCCCTCGGTCCCTCCCAGCCAGTTGCTCCCCGCATCTGTAAAGATTCACATTCCTCGTTCCATGGTACCGTACCGGATTCATCGTACCGGAATTGATTGGATCGCGTTTCCGCTTTAGAAAAATCGTTCTAGAATGTATACCCCCACTGTACCCTATTTTTTCCAGCCCCCGACTCTCGTCCCCCGTTCCCGTTCCTCGTTCCCACCGTACCGGAAACATGGCAACTATGGTTCGGCGGGTTGAATCGGCGGCGGCGTGGTAAACCAGCAGGTGTCGCAGCCCGGGTCCGACATGGGCGGTCCGAGGCAGCGACTGAAACAGCCAGGCCGGCCTGCGGCCGCCCGAGAGGAAGTTTTAACCCGGAGCTGTGGGGTAGACCGGCGGCGGGTCACGGCCTCGGCGGCTCTCCCACTGCAGTCGAGCTGTAAACCGGTGGGCGCGGTAAGAGCCTGCGAGGCCGGAGACAGTCGCGGCAGAAGGGGCGGCCTAAAGCCATGGAGGCGGGGGAGCGAAGGTGATTCGACAACAGTGCGTGGCGGAGGCGGCTCGGAGGAGACCGGCGACTCATGCCGGCATCTTAACTTGGCCTCAGCGAAGGGGAGTGACTTGCGGGCACAGCGGCAGCTTGCGGAGGATGAAGAACGAGCCGGTCGGTGGCTTGCGAAGGTAGCGCGGCGACTCGGCAGCCTGGCGCGGGCGGAACGACGCAGCACCGCGGAGACGGGTGGTGATGGGACACCGCGACAACGGCGTGAGATGGTGCAGGGCGCGGAGCCTGGCCGTGGTGAAGGCTGTCGGACTTCAGCCCTCATGATTGATCACATAAAAATAGACGAACACGCACGCTCAAATTTTTTTGCCAAAGACACGTGTCATACCTTTCTTTTTCCTTTTTTTATTTTCTTCTTCTCTCACGATGTTACATCAAAACTACAGCCATGGTCGCGTATATATATACATGCCCTGGCGTCTAAACTAGCTAACCTAGTCGGACACAAAGCTAACTCCTAATACTACTCAAATCGGAACACCTAGCCGACCCTAACTACTACTCGTGTATAGACGCAACCTAATCAGCTAGCTAAACTAGCATGGACTCCTATACCATCAGCTCGTACTTGACTCAACTAGGAAACTATCCTATCCTACACGTGCCAGGACTTAACCAGACCTAATAATCAAGATTATTTCTAATAATCTTTCTTTAATCTTGACTTGTCATCTCCTCATGCTCACTCTGTCTTGATCTTCACTCGTTGGAGATCCACGACTTGACGATCCAAACTCTGATGTACGATCCGGACTACCAATCCACACGGTCGTATCTACGCGTACAACGTGCAAGACTAAACACATCATCAGTCTTCACATCGTACAACTTAACTGGTCACTGTTCCACTACATGTCGAGCTTGATCTTCAACTGTCATATCCATACACTAAGTATGACCCGCCTGGAAACATGCAGTGCCTCCTTGCTCTGCCATGTTGTGCTACCTCCATTGCTTGGCCGCTGTCTTGCACTCGGTCCGCACCATACTCCTTGTACTTGCTCGCAATAGATCTGCTCTCCACTGCTAGCACACCTCCTCGCTTTACGATGGTTTCACCTACCACCGTCCGCCTACGGCATCACACCGAACCCACGCTGGCCACAATCAGGACGCTCCACGAGGACATGAACATAATTCACGGAACACCATGCACACCGCTTCCACTTCAACAAATCATCACCAAGACGAGCACTTGGACACGACGACGACTCACAGACTCAACGACGACTGACCGTGCAAACTCGCACGACACCTTGACTCATCCGACTCCCCCGGATGATGATCTTGATGAGCTCCAGCACCGCACCTCGGCACCACCTCTCCCATCAATGATCTTCTTCCACAGCCTTGCCGACGACAACCTACCGTCTCCCTCCTTGTCGCTCCGACGAACGACGATCGCTTGTTCCTCCTCTTCACCGCATCATCCAGCGACTTCATGGCCCGCCCCGAGGCGCTAGTAGATGGGGCAAGCGTTCGAACCTGAACCTTGCTCTAGATACCAATTGTTGGACTTCAGCCCTCAGGATCGATCACATAAAAATAGACGAACACGCACGCTCAAAAACTTTTGCCAAAGGCACGTGTCGTACCTTTCTTTTTCCTTTTTTTTATTTTCTTCTTTTCTCACGATGTTACATCAAAACTACAGCCATGGTCACGTACATATATACATGCCCTGGCGTCTAAACTAGCTAACCTAGTCGGACACAAAGCTAACTCCTAATACTACTCAAATCGGAACACCTAGCCGACCCTAACTACTACTCGTGTATAGACGCAACCTAATCAGCTAGCTAAACTAGCATGGACTCCTATACCACCAGCTCGTACTTGACTCAACTAGGAAACTATCCTATCCTACACGTGCCAGGACTTAACCAGACCTAATAATCAAGATTATTTCTAACAAAGGCAAGGTCATGGCAGAAGGGTGCGGTGCCGGTGACTCAACCCGGCTGCGGCTCAAAACTTGGATGCCGAGTGGCGGCTCAAAGGTAGGCATATCCCGGTCCGTCTAGGGCTCATCCGGTGGTCTCGTGGCTGAGGCGGACTGTAGCGGAGCAGGCTGCTCGTCGAGGCCAGCGCTGTCGAAGCGGTTCGTCGGCGCCGGAAATAGGTAGGTGATGGCGACCCAGACAGGAGACGAGGCGAGGCCGCGCGGTGATGACCCGGCGGCCGCTCAATCCAGATGATGAAGAGGGGCTCGATAGCGACCGGGTCGTTGTCAAAGAGGCGAGGCGGAACTATCCCCGCATCTTCCAGATCAGACAAGGCTCGCAGGCGGAGGCAAGACCAGCTTTGAGGCGGACGACGGCCACCAGCGGCGGTGAAGCGGCGAAGTATAAAGGCGGCTCAGTCAAGCGGAGGTGAAGCAGGTCAATTCTGGCGCCAGCGGCAACTCGGCGATGGCGGTTTTGAAGCAGAGGCAGCACGAGGGTTATTTCTCTTGTGACGATATACTCCCGGTTTTAGTTTCAGTCGACAAGGCACAGAAGGCGAAACAAAACTGCGGCGACAGGGCGTTTTGTTCAAACCGAGGCGGGTCCTTGCTTGCAGCGCGGTGGTCAAGGCGCGTTGCTGGCCCGGTTTGAGGTGGAGACGCACAACCGCTGCTCTAGGTGAAACCCGCAAGAGGATGATGACTCGGTTTGGCACGTAGCGGCCATTGATCGGCGACAGATGTAGGATGAAGGCCGTGGCCAGTTGGATCAATCCACGTCTGAATCGTGGCCGTAGTCCGGCTTAGATCAGTTCATTCAGCTGTGTATAGCAATCTTTGTAACCAGTAATATGCTCTGTACGCCTCCACACGTCCTAGTGGATAATGGTATAATAGTTGACAATTTGACTTTGGTCTTCACACATAAAGCAGCAACGGTAGATCAATGCTTGCCTCGGGACTTGATTCCCTTGCGGATGCTGCGTACGGAGTAGCAGTTGCAAGGCGTCGGAAGAGCAAGGATAGCTGCAGCCCTTCGGGATTCTCCACCAGGTAAAACAGATAAAAAGTTGTGAATACGACAACTCGGCAGAACCTGCGGTCGGACGGATCGCCTGAATTTCCAGTCGGGCCGTAGGTAAGAACATGGCAGATGAATCGCCTCCTGCAGAAAACCTCAACCCGGAATAAGCGGATTACCACGGCGCGTAAGGCGGCCGCACAACATATAACTCTAAAACAATCTCAATTTCATATCCGTCGCTGCAGCATACTTCGTTCAGTCTTGACTAACGGATTCATCATTGATGTGAATTTTTCCACCTCGGTTTTTGTTGAGCCGGGAAATTGCAAACTTCTCGAACCCTAAAAAAGATCCTTTCAAGAACTCAACACCACCGTGCGCGGCCCCACGATGGGCGCCAACTGTCGTGGAATTGTCACGGCAGATGTCCTAGTGTGAGGACTTAGTCGTGAGGCCAACACATCTATGTGGTAGCTTGAGAAGGGTTGAACGAAATCGAGAGACGCAACGCAAGACAAGGGTTTAGACAGCTTCGGGCCCCGGAAAACATCATCCGGTAACAACCCTACATGCTGTTTGAGGCTATGTCTCATTATGATCATGAGGAAGTCGCCGTAAACCGGCTCTCCCAGTTAACCCTAACCCTTAAGATTTTTTCTTCTTACTTATCCCTCTTTGGGGAGCCCTACCCCTCCTTGTATAAGTTGAAGGGGCGGGTTACATGTAGAGTCCAACTCATACTTAAGACTTAACTATTATGACTTCTTTTCATGGGCTTCTTAACATCTTGGGCTTCATAACGTCTCAGGCTTCATAACTCCTGGCAACCCAGTTATCACTGTTTGCCGAGTTATAACTGGTGCCAGTTTAAGATGGTCTGCCGGTTCATTATTGTCTGTTGAGTTATCATCTGACTTAACTCCTGTCTTTATTGTCAGCCGGTTTAACAACATGTCGGTTTACCGTCTGGGTTAACTGCTTGTTTTACCTGTCTGACTTAACTGTCAGCCAGTTTACCGTATGACTTAACACCAACCAGTTTACCACCTGCCTTAACACCTGCCGGTTTACCACCTGCCGTAACACCTTCCGGTCTACCAAGTCCCAGCCGGGTTATAACTCCGGTCAGATCATACCGCGGGGTATGTCCCCGACACCCTTCGGGGTGGCGTGGTTGATGGAGGCGGCATGTTGGGGGTGGCCCTCAGTGGCTCCTCCTTTTGCCATCCTCCTCCTGCAACCACGGCAAGGTCGGCATCAAAAGATCGTGCCCCAGCACAAGTTGATGGGGAGCGAGTGATGAACGCACGCTAGGGGCTGTGCCGGGGGCTGCTATACGGGCTGCTCTCCACCACCAGCAGCGTACTCGAGGAGATCACCGGGGGCTAGCCGCCCATCGAGGCCCTGGCCCTCTTCGCCACCCTATGGGCCAGCGTCTCCATATCCCTGCAAAAATGAAGACAAGTCAAGAAAAGCGGCACGGTCTGAGGGGACGGAGATGACAAAAGACAAGATACTTACTCATCCTCCGCCTCCTCTTCTGTTGCCTTCCTCTTCCTCCTCGGGCTAAGGGACCTGAAGTCGAAGACGACCTATGAGTCGTTGCCTGCGGGAGGAGGGGAAGCAGGTGGAGTCCGAGGACGCTTGGACGAAGAAGAGGCAGTCACTTTCTTCTTCGCCACCGCAGCCTTCACCGCCTTCCTCGCCGCCGCGGCCCTCGTCTAGCACACGGATGCCTCCTGGGCTTGTTGCGATTGCGCGGCCCTGCCGGGCCAGACCGGCTCGCCAGAGCTGGCCCGCCGCAGGACACGCCCTCTCCCCGTGGCTGGGGGCTCGACAGCCTTGCCCTCCTCGAACGACTCATCGACCACATCTTCAATGAAACGGGCCCCGGTGCCGGTGCTGCTGGCATCCCCGCGGATTCCGCCCACTGGGCGAGCTCCCTCTCCTCCGCGGCCGCCGCGGCCTCGTCCTCCACGCCGCCAGCGCTGCCGGCCTCCTTGGCGAGCTCCCCCTCCACCACCCTGGCGGCGATATAGTCCAGCTCCGCTTGGGTGGTGTCCTGGATGAGCAGCGGCTCGTCGCGGATGTACTTCTCCGACAAGGTGTCGAAGAACTCCTGCACCTGATCCTCCTCCGGCTCGGCCCAATTCGGGTCAAGGCCATGCGCATTGAAGTCCTGCATCATGGCGATGATATCAGTTTGGCGAGAGTTGTTGCTCAGCGGGACCACCCGCGCCGGCAACCCAAAAAGGGGCCCCTTGCCAACCTTGCCGACCTTCGCGGCCTTGCCAGTCCTCTCGGCCCTACCGTCGCAGTTCACGTCGAGCTGCAAAAGCCGCTGGCAGAAGTGGGCATGCCCCATCACCGTGAAGTTATGGTTCAAGCCGGGGCGAAGCCTCATGATGTCAGCCGCATTCCTGAAAAGCCAGGCTGGCCTCCCCTTGTTGTGTAGTGGAACGATTCCGCGGTGGATGAAATCCGCCCCAATCATCTCCAGGGTGCACTACAAAAAATACACTTCCGTGATGATACGTGTTTGTCGTAGTAGGCCACGTTTTCTGTCATGCATGTACATCCATGACAAATTTATGACAGAATCAAGATAGTCATACCTGTGTTGTCATAGAAGTGTTCCATGACATTACCAAAATTATCATCATGGAAGTTTCCACTTCCATGACGATAAATCGTGTGTCACAGAAGTGCTTTCGTCAAGGGTGACCGACACATGGCATCCACCATAACGGAACGCCATTAAGCTATCGGGTCAGGTTTTGGATCCGATAACCCGTTAACAGCCCGGACCAATGGGGATTTTCCACGTGTAAAATTCTGATTGGCTGACGGAAACACGTGTCAGCTCCGCGTTGGCACAGGTGTCACTCATCCAATGGCCGAGATGCGCCTATGATATGTTGACACGTGGACCGGACCAAAGGTGGCCCATAAAGTTTAAATGGGCCAGCACAACTAAAGGCCCACAAGATTTTGCGGTCCATAATGGGTCAGCCCAGCAATAGGCCCACGAGATTTTGCGTATCATAATGGGCCGACCCAGCTAAAGGCCCGCGAGATTTTGCGGGACATAATGGGCCAGCCCAGCTAAAGGCCCGCGAGATTTTGCAGACCATAATGGGCCGGCCCAGCTAAAGGCCGAACATTCTCAGTTAAGGCCCGTACAGCTAGTGTGAAATCGGCCCGTCAACGGCCTATCCTAAACTTGTCATCATCGCGGCCCATGGTCACTTCTGGCCCATTAATAGTCCACTAACTGTATGGGCCGAATTACGGCCCAGTGTATTTCCGGCCTATTAAAGGTCCTGCATCAGTTGGGCCCATTTACAGGCCATTGAAACTTTCGACCAATAAATGACCGTGAAGGATTTGGGTCCTATTCGGCCATGTCTGCCATTCGGCCTGTTAGAGGTCCACTATAGATTTGGTCCACTTTTGGCCTGTTGTGATTTTCGACCTGTTAACGTCGGACGAAATCCATGGGCCATATGTGGCCCAACGTCACATCAGGCCCATTAACGGCCCATATAAAAATGATGATAATCTAGCCCGACCAAACTTCCGGCCTGTTAAAGGCCCGTGTATTAGGTTGGCGCATTTACGGCCCGTCCAAATTTTGGCCTGTGAAAGATCTGCATCGTAAATGGGCCCAATCTCACTTTCGGTCTTTTAAAGGCCCATGTTTTTTATGGGCTCGAGATATTTACACCTGTAAACGGCCTATTGTTACTGAGGGCCCAAATTATGTTTAGGCCTGTTAAAGGCCCACTATGGGCACAGGCCTACCAGAAAATATGAAATCTTATGTTGATTTAGGCCCAGATATTTTTAGTGGGTACATGCAAATTTCGGCCCATAATCGTTTTTAGCCCAATTGAAATGGGCCCGAAGAATGTTGGCATGTTGGGCTCCTACGAAGCTTTCGACCGAATACATTACTAAGATAAACCTACACTATACAAAAATAGCGTCGTAATTATTGCAGCCTTTGGCAGCATCATAAATGATGTATCACAACAAAAGTCCTGTTGGCATAAAGTTTACAGTCCTTGCAGATAAAAGCACCATAAGATGTATAGAAGTACATATCATTTGACCTGAGTGCTAATGTTTCAGGCTATAGAATCTGATGGAGCAGCACGATCTTCACCTCTTTTCCGCCATTGCTCTTGAACAACTAAGCGAATGTCTGATAGTCTGGTTTCAAAACCATTCATATCTTGACGACATTTGTCAACCAATATTCTTGTTTCCAAAACGACATCCATTAGGGATTGGACTTGTGTCTAGAGAACAGATATATCACTCTGTCTAGCAGGAAGATTTTGTTCAGTAGGCGATTTGGACGAGGTTACCTTGACAACCAACCCAGAATTATGCAGGAAGGTGCTTTTTTGCACTGTTAGTGGAGAGATACTGGCGCACTGCAGGAAGAGGTGACATTGTGCCTGTGGTAGCCTCGTCACCTTCAGGTGGTTGTGGTTGTTCAATCATTTTTTCCATAGCTTCCTAAAAGGTTGAAATTGTAGATTAGTGTACCAGATAAGTTACTAATGAGACAAAAACAAACAAAGTAGGTTACACGTTTATACATAACTTATTTTGATGAACTACTGTAATAAATTAGCATGTATTGTAGTGCCAACTACATAATAAAATCACTTTCAGAACATATGTCCATGTAGCATGCCTACTATATTGTCAATTTCCTCACATTCGTTGACATCTAAGGATAAAGAGGCATGGTTTAAAGTAGGATGAACATAGTATGACATCATTCATATCATTGGCAAACAGATATAAAACAAACAGACTATTTTATCATTGTGTGCGCACGTGAACATAACAACTAGAATACAGATCAAGACCAAAAGAATATCCTTCATATGTTTTAAACCATGCAAGGTGAAATGATACGTTAAGACAACTGTGTATAAAAGTGAACAGAGTAAGTGACATTGGCTGCAAACCAAGTAGTTAAATGAACACATCACAGTACCGATCAGTTCAAAGGCAGGAGGACTGAGGACTTACAACAGCGACTTGAACTGGTGTGCTCATGCCCTTCATCTTGCTGGTGTGGCAATCCTTGAAGATTTGCACTGCATTCGATTCAGGTTCTTTTTGGTCTGCACAGGCTTTCCTCTGT